ATTCCATTTTATAGAAAAACCACATCTTCTTTATCCAATCTCCAACTGATGGGCAAATGGGCTGCTTCCAAATTTTAGCTGTTACAAACTGTGTCGCCATAAACATGGGTGTGCATATATCACTCTGGTACTATTCTTTTAATTCATTTGTAAAGATACCCAACAGAGGGATGGCTGGGTCAAATGGAACCTCTAGTCCAGCTCTTTGAGGTATCTCCATATTGATTTCCATAGTGGTTGCATAGGAAAAGACTTTATGAACAAATCCTCAGTATCACAGGAACTAGCAGAAAGAATCAACAACTGGGATCTCATCATATTAAAAAGCTTCTGCACTTCAAAAGAAACCATCAACAGAACTAAGAGACCACCTACAATGTGGGAAAAACTTTTTACCAGCTGCTCTTCAAAGAACTATTATCTAGAATATATAAAGAACTGAAAACTATCAGCCCCCCCCAATATAAGGACCTGATTCAAAAATGGGGATCTGAAATGAACAGACATTTCTCAGACAAAGAAGTAAAAGCAGCAAGTAAATATATGAAAAAATGTTCCACGTCACTGGTCATTCGAGAGATGCAGATGAAAACAACACTGAGATTCCACCTCACCCCACAAAGAATGGCTGCTATCAAGAAATCACTCAATATCAACCTGGATATTTTTAAAAATGTATTCTGTCTATCAGTCATGTTCACCATTCAGGCTATGCCATCAGGCTTAATGTCCTGGGGAAAGAAGCAAGTCCACTTAGAACAAAGGTGTCTACTGATATCAAGAAGAAGGTAATAACTTACAGAAAATCCCACTGGACAGAAAAGGCATTCATACCCTATTTGAGGGTAGGAAAAAAAAAAGACTAAGAATGAAGACTTATAGGAGAAAGGGTTTGTTTAGCCTCAAGAGTCTCAGCATTCCTATCTCTCTAGCCCCTAGGTCAGGCAGTGGATGTGGACAGCAACAAGACAGACAAAGAGGAGACAGTAAAAAGGTGGTTCAGATATGCCTCTAGGCCAGTGTAATAGGACCAAAATGACGTCTGAAAGTAAAGACTAGCAAACCTTCATGGTGCCTCTGTGGAAATGAAGCTCCATGATAGAGTTTTGGTAATGAGGTGAACATCATGGGCAAGGATGCTGAAGGAGCTTAGACAAGACCTGAGAGCCAAAGACTGATAGGGCAAGAATGAATGTAGAGAGGATGGTCATCAGAAGTCCTCACCATAAAGTATTGCATTTGAAGGCAAAAGGGCATCCAGATATCCAGAAGGGCTTATCCCTCTCCTACCTTCTGCCACAAGGACAAATAAGCTACTTTTTATACTGGATACTTCATTGGCTGTCAAAGAAATTTGGAGAGCTTCAACATATAAATGAATATATAATAGATACAACTTATATGAGACTTACCATTATTTGACATATTTTAGTTTCCTTTGTCTGCTTCCAACAGGTAAAGATTTGATAATAAAATGCAATGGATTGTAGAACATTTTTGTGGTGGATCAATTAATGGTCCATTTACAGTGACTAGCTGAACTGAATCACCATGGTCTGGGCATGGAAGAGCCACCTGAGGACTGTTGCCAATATCCATCAAAAAAAACTGGAGGCGAAGATCTTGGCTTGATTTTCTGGGAGAAGCTTAATGTGGATGGTTTTCCTTATGTGAACTAGACTGTTCTCATCAGAGGAGGAACTCAGGCCTTGCTGTCACTGGAAATTGCTGCTGTTTTTTGTCAGGGAGCTCTGATCTTCACCGTTAGCATCACTTCCTAGCTCCAATGTGAATTCCTCAGCCTGGTGGCACAGATCCTTCATCCCACTGGCATAGATTTTCTGGTTTCCACCTTTGGCCTTTGTCCCTTCCAGGTGTAGATCCTTAATACAGACAAGCATGAGACATTGCTGTGGGTTCTAGGCCACTGGCTTCACTTGTGGAGGACACTGCTTTGGATTCTAAACCTTTAGCTGTACTTGAAAGGGACATTGCTGGGATCCAGACCCTCAGCTGGATTCTATGGCCCTTTTGTGTGTGGTTAATCTCTCTTGCACAACTTTGCATATTGCTTTTTGGGTAATTATCATAAAATACTCCTATAAATTATGTACCCTGTATTAATATATTGCTAAAACCCTGAATACAATTAGAGTGCAGTATTTGTGCATCTGAGTAATGCAATTTAGGATATTATGTTATTCTGAGGTAATAAACCACCTTAAAATATCAGTAGCTTAGTAAATCAGTTGTTTCTTGCTTGTGGGATATGTCCATTTCTCATCAGTAGAAGCATAGGCATAGAATCCCTGTGACCTCACTCCAGCATCCAGACTAGTGGAGGATCCCTTAAGCAGGTTCCTCTGCCATCAGAGTATCTCAGGTTTCAACAGCACAGGAAAGACAACAGGAGGATCACACATCAGTACTTAAGCACTTTGGATCACATGTCACTTCTGTCCACAGCCTAAGTGGTTCCATCTGGTTCCACAGCCCTATCCATAAAGAAGACAGAAGGAAGGGTAACCTTGCTTGAACATGAAAGAGAGATGAACAGGTTAAAGTGGGCGTGAGATGTCGCTGCCACATAAGGCAGAGACTCACCCTACTACATAAGTTATTATTATTCTGTTTGAATGTTTGAACTACCCAACTTTTGCATTATCTCTCACACCTCAAAATAGAAGTCCCATACCCACCCAGGTCATCTTTTCTTTCCTTGATTTATAATAGAACAGGACTGGACTTCTTCATTCCTAACACAACCTCCTACTGTCACCTCCTTCCAAATCCTTTCCTCATAAGCTTACTGATTTCTAGCAAAACTCACATTTCTACCCCTGGCTCTCTCACTTCCCCTTGACTGCAAAATGTTTCCAAGCCTTTGATGAGTCAGTTTAGACCCTGCAATGATCTTGTTGCACCCCCTATTCCCTCAGATGCCCACGGTTCGGCAGCCACCCATATGTCCAAATCCCAACATTTGGATTCTAAGGCTCCAATATTTAAAGGCTGATTAAAATAAAATAAAATAAATCCATAAAGCTCAGCCTGAGCTGAACTAAGTGGCCCATTTAAACTCCATTAGGAGTTGAGATCAATGTTAATATTTTACGACTTAAGCACTCCTTATTTTCAAAAGATCTTTCTTCCTGCTTTGTGTCACCTTGCTCAGGAGGTCATAGTAGGGAACCTAGACCTTCCTCTGATGGCCCTGTGTATGGGAAAAGCCCAAAAATATCTCCCTGATGTCTGCTGTCATTTGAAATCATGACAAATAACTCCTTGAACTTGGTCCATATATTTGTATTCACTTTGTACTAAGTTTTCATCACTCCAAAGATTTCAATCATTTCCCTCTTAGTATTCATCTAGAGGTTCCAAGTCTTTTTGCCTTCTAACCTGGATCTGGCCACCAATCATTTAAAATGGACCCATGGACTTTTTATGGGCAGAGAGATGAACTTCCTTCAGGGGAAATCCACAGAGGGAAAGGGTATAATTTTGCCCGATTCCCTTTGTATATGTCCAGAGGGAAATACCACAGATAGAAATTAATCACAGAGTGATGTGAGAGGATTCATTAGTCCCTGATTAGGAATGAGGACAGCTTTACAGAAAAGTTTCTCTTCTCTTCTATAGGTGCTGCCTGTAAATTCTCAAGGGCCTTCAGTAATTGTCTGCAACTCCACCATATGTCACTTCCCTGTGCTCTTCTGAGCAGCTTGTCATCCAACAACACAGTACAAATGCTGTCCTAATGAGACAGTGAACCTAAGATATAAACAGACCTTTTACCAGAATAACATTTTCATAGTCTGCAGATTAGAAACCTCCCCAAAGATCCTAAAATCAGTGATAATCACCCCCAGAAGTATTTATCATTTATCTCTTATTTACCTCTTAGGCCAAAGACTGCAAATCTGATAGCTTATTGTCTTGGTAGCCCCTAAATCTTGGGCAGATTGTATACTTCCAAAGACAACTAATCAATTTACACATGCCATCCCACAAACTCCCCTGATGATGTGGTTGACACACCTGCTGCTGAAGCATGGTACCTACATTCCTTCCACTGAACGTGGGTGAGCTTGAGACTTCCTCTACCAACAGAGTGTGACAGGAGTGATACTGTCTACTGAGGCGAGGCCAGACAAAGGATACAACATCCACCTGGCTCACTATTTCAGTCACTCTGGGAACTTCAGATAAGCCCAAACTAACCCATAAGGAGAGGCCACATGGAGAAGCCTATGGGGAGGGTAAATGTGGCTCTTCTTGTGACCCAGAAGCACCTGCTTGTTGAGTGAATGAGGGACCCTTCAGGTGATTCCAGACCCCAGCCTTCCTATCTTCTACCTGGTACCCCAGACATCATGGCATAAAATATGCTATTCCAGTTGTGCTTAATCCAAATTTATTACAGAAATTTAGAGCATAGTCAGTGTTTATTCTCACTAAATTTTAGTTTGATTTGCTATGTATTCATAGTAATTGGAACAAATCACTTCCAGGTATGTTCTCTTTATTTCATCTTTATATTACTCACAGAGTGACTTTTTCGAATAACTTGAAGGTTATATGATTGTATCTAGGGCAGTAGGGGGATTATTTCTGTCTGCCCACATTTCAAAAAAGTAAGATTTTGTTGCTCTGCTTGTAAAATGAAGGCAGTTCTCAAGGTCTCAGATTAAAACAAAACAGTTAGAATGTTTCTTATCTTTGCTTCTCTCTAGAGGACAGAACTTTTTTGAAATCAAACTTCGTTTCTCACATTGATAAAATCCTATGTCTCACAAAAGATATATTTGTTTTTATTCTTCCCTCAGCTCCCTCTTGAATTCTAGAGTGTTGAAAGGAATGGAGAGCAGGGGGTCGGGGATTTAGCTCAGCGGTTCGGTGGCCTGCCTAGCAAGCACAAGGACCCGAGGTCGATCCCTGGTTCCACACACACACACATACACACACACACACAAAGGAATGGAGAACAGTTTCAAAATCACCTGTTGTTTCTTCAATGCCCATTAATCTGTAAGGGGTCAGGAACAACCAGTCTATAGCACTTGTCTGTCCTAAAGACAAAATGAGCAAAACCCTCTTTAGTAATGAAGAGTAGGTAAAGAACAAGCAAGAACTGTCAAGGAAATACTAACTAGTAATAAGAATAAAAGGTCTAGACCTATCTGAAAGTGACTGAAAGTCATTTTAAATCACATTGCATCAATTGCAGTGGCTCATACTGGGCTTCCCTTTTCTGTCTATACCCTTACACGTAGGTGTGCTCCTCTAGTCATTGCTTTGAACCCTCCTCTTTTTTGACAATTTCCAAACCTGCATCTTCAGCAAAGACCTGTCCCTAAACTCCAGGTTCATACATCCATCTCGTCTACCCAACATCTCCGCTTGTTGTCTAGCAGTCATCTCAAACTCAATTACTCCAAAAAATGAACTTAACTTCTCCAAAGAATGAACTCCTGATGTTTTTTTTTTTTCTCAAGCTTGTTCCTCTTCTTGCCTTCTGGATCTGTTAATGATGATTCTTTCCTTCCAGTGGCTCAAGAGAAGAACTCTAACATCTTCCTTGGCTCTTTCCCACAAACTAAAACCTATCCATCAGCAAATGCTACTGGCTCTAGCCTCAAATCACATGCATAATCCAATTACTTCTCATGACCTTCACTACTACTGACTCCATCCAAGCCAATGTCATCTCTTGCTGATTGCTGCAGCAGTCTCCTAACTGATCTCCCTGCTTCCATCTTGGCCTTCCTGCAGTTCACGCTTATCCCAGAAGTCAGAATATGAGTCAAATCATGGATGGTTTCATCTGCTCAGAATCTTCTTATGGCTTTTCATCTCACTCACAATAAAAGTCATGATAGGAAGCTAGAAGGTAGACTCTTAGAAATGGGAAAGGGGTTCAGGGGAGAGTTGAGGAAAAAGAAGAGGGGTTTAAGGGTTTGAAAATGATCAACATATGTTATATTCATGTACCAGTTCCCCAAAACGAACATCACTATTCCATATCATAAACTTGCACTAATAAAATCAATAATTTTTAAAATCAAAGTCCTTAAAATAATTACTAAAACCCTTAATGGTTGTCCATTTATTACTCCTCTCTTCCCCTTTCTTCCTGACTAACTCTGCTCCCAAGTTCACTAGCTTGCCCAACTGTTTCAGAAAGATACCCAGGGACTTCCTATCCTAGTGCTTCAGACTTGTTCTTCTTTCTGCGTGGAACCTCTCTCTCCCAACCTGCCCTATATCTGTGTGACTCATTCCCTCATGCTGTGTGACTTCTGCGGGTAACTGTTAGGCTTTGTTAATTGTCTCAATTGATAGAATGGAGATGTCTCCTTCAACCTATTTTATAAAAATAAATACCATTCTCTGGTAACTCCAGTTTCCTCTCCTCTGTGTTTTTTTTTCCCCTCCAAAGTACTTACTGCATTAACATTAAATAAGTAAGTAAATAAACTTATTGTCCACCTTCCCTATTTGGAATGTATCTTTCATTAAAATGTAGATATTTTTGCTCTATTTTTACATAGTGCGCATAATAGTTTCTGACATGTAATAGCCAAGTAAATCGTCAGAATAGCATACACCTGTTCATGAATGAATGAACAAACAGATGAACCATTGGACCACAGTCAATTGTCAGCCAAGAACCACCTAAACAGAAGGCAGAAAACAGATGGAGAGCTTTGGCAAAAGCAGACATCTGTTTATACTGGGTCCTCGACTTGCACTGGAAACTTTCCTGAGCAAAGAAAAATGACAAAGGACCTAAGGGTCTTGGATCACCCTTGTGTCTATCTCAGGGGACAGAGCTTTGCCCATGAAAAGGTCCAACTTTTAAAGTCCACATTGAGTCTCGGTCTCCTTATCTATAAAATAAAGGTATTTTTCATAGAAGATGCAATCAAAATTAAATGAACATTTAAAAACAAGAAGAAAATAAGTGTAGTTGTATAAGAGAATGACCTTGATGGGAGCCTACTTAGCAATTGAGTCAAGTAAACATAATTAATGGATGTGGAAAATGGCCAAAATGCCAGGTTACCATATAAGCTAATTAATTTAAAAGGGGGAAGGAGTGCCGTTGTTCAGTACCCACAAATGGTGGCTGTTATGCATACATTATTTTATTCTAATAAAAACTTTTGTGAGACAAATATTATGATAGTTACTTTGTTTTTCTTATTTTTGGTACTGGGGATCAATCTCAGGACTTAGTGCTTGCAAGGCAGACATTGTACCACTGAGCTAACTCTTCAGCTCTTATGATAGTTATTCTACAGTGACAATTGAGATTCAGAGAGTTTAGGTAACTTACCAAAGTTACTAGACATGGTCGTGTAGTTGTGAATTATAAAGCCATTTCCAAAACACCAAACCATTCTCTTAACACTTTTAATATTTACCTCTATGCCGATGATTTTCCAATATTTTAAAGACAGGTGTCCATATAAAATGTGGATGGAAAGGACATTATAGTGGGGAGTGAAATATTTAATTAAAATTCATAGAAAATGAGGAAAGCCTAATTTCCAAAAAAAAAAAAAAAAAAAAAAGCCCTGTGTGATTCTATTTATATGAAATTCTAGAACTACAAAAAAGTGCTACAGTGGCATAATCAAAATAGTTATGGTCTTGTGTTGACAGTTGGGAAAATGGACGTGTTCAGAAGGGCAAAAAGAACTAAGGGGGTAGAAATCTCCCATAGTTTCGACATTCGGCACTTGATGTATGCATTTGTCAAAATGCAATGAATTCTATTCTTAAAATCTGTGCATTTCACTATACATTTTCATTTAAAAACTTTAAAGTCAGAGAGAGAAAAAAGAATTTTAGTCTTGACTTTCAGCTGAAAAATAATAGCACTATTTCAATGGTTTTTATTAAACCTCAGGAAAAAACTCTAGTGATTTAGGTTTGGAAGTCAAATTCATCTTTGAGATGAAGGAACCAAATGACACAATGTTAAGTGACTTTGGGGTCTCCACAGCAGGAAGGACCAAACAGATTCAAACCAAGCCATGAGAATAACTGTCTCACTGCAGCTGACACTGAGGAGGTCCTGTTGTGATAAGGATGAAGCTGTAAAGGGAAGATTTTGATTCATTTATTCCAAATACATAGCAAGTTTTTAGCCTAGGGAGTGTGTGGATAAAGAGAACATATGAATAAATAGTCAGTCCAGACTTTATTCAAAGAGGTACATTAGTAGGAAATTACAAGGACAGATAATAATCTTTGGGACCATAGGAATAGAAATAGAGATGAGATTTTGTCTCATGTGCTATAATGCATTTATTTTTGCCTTAATATTTTTTAAAAATCAAATAATCTCATCTTCAGAGGAATAGATGAAGTCAACATATGGCTTTGAGTGTAATAAAAATGAGTTTTATAGTAAGTAGCCACCATAACATAGATTAAGTCATTTCAAATTAACCTCATTTAAATGTAACATGGAAGCCTTAGCCATATTGTATTTTGTGACATATTTTTAACGCATCCCTATATACAATGACTTTTACTTAAGGTAGAAGAAAAGGCAAGAACAAAAATGTCATAGAATAGTTAGGTGACTTTTGGTACATTATTTCCCAATAGCCCTTTTCTTTAATGATTGAATTCTCTATATCTTCCTTAGTGAGGGAAAAGTTAGACAATTTAAATTCACACAAGCATGCAGTACCTAGCCAACTTAGCATGCAGAGAAGTGAAGAAAGAAACTCATATGAATCAGGGATGATATTAACCACCATAAAGAAACAAGGGAAAATAAATAACAGAATGTTGCATACAACATAGGCCTCTAACCACAGCAAATAAATACTTGCTTGATATTTCATCTCAAATGGGACATTAAACAGAAGGGCCTCCAAAGAGAAAAGCACTTATTTGGGTGAAAGAAACATAAATATTAAGTTGTGTAATATAAGTAATGGTAACGTTAAAGAATATATCATTGGTGTATAGAAGCAAAAACTTCTACAAAAACCCTTAACTGCAATGCAGCAGAGCTCAAATCATTTGCAAGAGGCTTGAGAACAGTACTGTGCAGTAGGACTTCCTGCAAGCACAGAAGTGCTATCTGTCCTCTCCAGTAGGATCACTGCTAGCCACACTTGAAATGTGGCAAGTGTAACTGAAGAACTGGATTTTACATTTTATTTAATTTTAATTTAAATAATTGCATGTGAATATCAGCTATTGTATTGGATAGTACAGATTTAGAATAGTTTCAAGGACACGGACAAATATTCAAAACTGACCTTAAGAGAAACCCTTGATGTCTCTTGTCATTTCCCAAATGGGCTTTTTTTTTTCAGCTTTAATTGAGTTTATTGGTACATTTTAGGGATACAGTACAGTTACATTCATTGTTGGGATCTTGTTCCTCTACATGACAAGTCTTGCTTCTCATTTTTTCCCCTTACCCCTGCCCTGGGCTTTTGAACATTAGACTTACATCTTTACAGTTTTACAATTCTTAGTTATTTTAGACACCTGCTATTCACAGGGGAAAAATGTCTAACCATATCTGATGAGATTTGTTCCATAGTAATAAAATGAATTGAGACACTTGAAAACACCTTGGCTCCTTCCCTTGACCCATAAGATTTTCAGAGCATGACCTTACACAGAGTTGACATAGAGCTTTATCCAATTCTTAGATTCAAAACTACAGAAATAACAAAGTCTCCTGGTGGGTTTCTTGAGAAGAAAATAGGTCTGACAGCTTACTTTGGCAAGAGCTTGTTGCTCTTACTAACAGATTTCTCCTATGTAGCCAGCCCATCCACATGCTATAATGTCATAGCATTGCAATCCTCTATAATCTCTACATTTCTACTTTCTCCTGAATAAATTTAGTCCTTGGTGGAAACTACCTTTGGAATTTTTTAATTGAGTTTATTAGTACATTTTAGGGATAGAGTACAGTTACATTCATTAATGTGATCTTGTACCTTTACATGGCAGGTCTTGGTTCTCATTTTTTCCCCTTGTCCCTGCCCTCCCTTCACCTTTATGCAGTGAAACTCACTTCCACTAAACAAAGCATTAAGCTTTAGTTATAAACAAAGTCATAAATTTAGCTAAAAAAGGAATGCAGACTGCATTTGATTGACTGGTAATAACTGCTTGGACAAGTTGCTAATAATCAATTAATAATATCCTGAGATGCCTTGCAGTACATTTAAGATCGGTAGAAAATCATTTTGTAATCATTTAGTAATATTTTCCATGAGCTTACAAGTAGGGATTTGGGGCTTGTGTGTAGCATGTATGTGGTCCCTACACGAGGCAATGAAAGAAGACACAATTGCATAAAGCAAAATAAAAATGCATTCGCCACTACATACCCTGCAAGGGTGCATTAGAAGTAAAGTAGGATCATAGAGATAATAGAGGTTGATTGCAACTGGAAATAATGTGGATGCCATGAAGAGGTGGCATTTGAATTAGGTCTTCAAAGTTGAGTGGGTTAGGGAGTAATTAAGGAGGGCAAAAGCATTGCCAGCAGCGACAGACACACAGAATGCCTTGCAAGGCAGGAGAAGCCAAATGCCATCTGCCAAAGGTGGAGTCACTGAATGAAAATACTAAAAAGACAACATGGACACATCTAGAAAGGCATTAGATGCTGTGCTAAGGAATTTGTTTAGCAATACTAGGTACCAGAAAATATTTTAGCAAAATCAGAACTGTGCTTTAGGGGGATAATTTTGACTTTGATACACAGGATAATTATGGGAAACAAGGAGTTAAGTGGAGCAAATTGTTTTACTCATTTATTTGTAATATAAATTTCACAAATTTCCAAAAGCATTTTGAGAGGCCTTATTATTGTCATTTGCTATTGGTTGCTGCTCCAACCACCATTTTATCTTCTTTTATTAATTTTTAAAAATCCTAATACTGCTCTCAGGCAACAAGTAAATAAAGAAGTCAGACCTTTCACTTTACCTGAGGAGTTGAATCATTATTTGTCCATAACTCCATTGTCTTGGGCTCATGCTTGTCTCAGTTCCTATTAAAGAAATACAGTGACTTTAACTATGGTAGAAAACGAGAAGCGAAGGTTCTGCAGTGGTGCAGCTCAGCTGGAATGGGAGATTTCCTTGGGCATTTTAAACGTTCAGTCAAAAATCCCCAGAAAGCCATCATTTAAGAGGACCACACCCCAGGAGAAGGGTCATGTCCTGGAGTTAGAACTGTACAATGTAAATGTACTTATTCCACTGAAGTACACACTTTAAAATGAAATTTTGTGTTATACATATTTTACTACAGAGGAAAAAGTAACATTTATTGTAGCACTGAAATATGTGTATGTAAAGAAGACCTATATAAATAGAGAAAAAAATGTTGGTGATTCACCCTACTTTATTTCAAAGCATATTATAAGGGAATAGCAATTCAGGCAATGTGCTACTGGTGGATAGAAAAGCAGACAAATGGAACAGATGAGAGAGTGTAGAAATAGATGTCATATTCATACTCAATTGATTTTGGACAAAGGAGCTAAGGTAATTAAATGCAATGCAACTGAATAAATATATGGGAAAATATTAACATGAGATGGATTATAAAACTAAATGCAAAAGTTTCTGAGCGACATCACAAGGTCTAGGTCAGGGCCTGAGAGTTCCTATTTTGAACATGTTTCCCAGGTAACATCTATTCTGCTGGGTTAGCCTCTCTATTTTATCCTTGTTTTGTAACAGCATGGTGCAAAAATAAATAAATAAATACAAGTGCTAGCATTTTTATCATTTAAATCTTCCTCTGAATAATTTTAAAGTAAAATAATAACTTTCTAGGAATAAATTAAAACTATTAATAATTTAAGCAGAAATGATAGCAGCTATGAAGAAATATCCATTTCCACCACATTAAATTTAGTACTAAGAAGTGGTTTTTGGAGAAGTCTAACTGCAATACTGTCTGCCAAGACAAATTTATGGCATTCATGACATTCCCTAATCCAAAGAAAAAATAATAAGGCGTATAATATGTACCCTTGTTTATGTGCCCAACATGAAAATAAGATGGTCAAATATAATTCAACCTGGTGGCTCATTCTTGCTACACTGTGCTTTATAATAAAATATTGCTGCCACTTCTCTGGTTTCGAAAAAGCCTTCTGTATGGAGATTTTCCTGTTATTCTTCTACATTCTTCTCTGGACATTACAATCATTCTTTGTGTCATGTTTCCTTTTGCTACCTTCTTATAAGCTGTGTCCTTGCAGCTTGAAGTCAGTGCACACTCCCTAGAGAGCAGAAAATGAGCCTCTCACAAATAAGCAGCATCATGGAATTTTAGAGCTTTATTAAAGGGGCCTTTCAGATCTTTTTTTTTTTTAATTGAGTTTATTGGTACATTTTAGCATACAGTACAGTTACATTCACCATTGGGACCTTGTACCTTTACACGGCAGGTCTTGGTTCTCATTTTTTCCCCTTGTCCCTGCCCTCCCTTCACCCCTTTCAGATCTTTCAGAGTGCAAGGATTACAGTGGGGACTGTGGCATTGAGCAGCCCTGAGTTCAAGCCCTGACCCACTATTTAACAAGAATAATTTCTGGCACAGTCTCTTCAGCCACGTTAAGTCTCAGCTTCCTCATCTATAAGTTGAGTTCTCCCCAAAATTACATGAGACCATGTGTAGAAAGTACTCAAAGCATTATCTGGGCCCCCTGTAGCTATTGTAATAGTAACTAGAATATTGAACCATATAAGTATACATTTATTTGTATTTTCATATGAAGCATCTACATAGCCTGTATACAGCATTAACCTGAGGATGTGGTGGGGAAGACGGAGTGGGGAATAGAAAGAGGAGGGAAGATGATTAGGAATGGAATTGCAGAGATATAATGAATTAGTTAATTCTGAGATTCTGGAGCCAAAACAGAACATTTTTTATCACATACAGACATGGGCCAGATTGAAAAATTAGGCTTATCTTTAGAAAGAAAGGAAATTTTCTGAATTCCTTTCTCTCTCCTTTAAAATATCAAGAAGTAGGCCTGGAACGTGCAATCATAGAACACTACTTCACAGCCAGTAGGGAGAGAAGGAGCGTATAGTGCTGAGGACACAGAACCAAGACTCCACTGTGGGTCCTGTGACTGTCGAGGTGGATGGCAGACAAAGGCTTAGACAGGAAGGGGGTTCTGTCGCATTCTGATTGAGGTTCTAGAAGGAGGATATTTCACACCACTCACAGACGGCCACTTCAGAGAAAATGTGGTGGTTGACTGAGTGACAAATGTTTCCAAAGAAAGAGAATCAGAAACCAGAAAAGATTTGATCCATGGAGAGTTTAGTGGAAATGCTGAACGCAAAGCGTGCATCAAATTCTGGGCCAACCCATAAGGATTTTCTGGGTTCGCTGGGTCACAGAGAAGCAGCAAGGCATATTCTAGGCCAGCCAATGTGCTCAGCTCTGGCTGTTGATTATCCTTTTAATGAAGGGGAACAGTGATGTAGGTTTTCTGAAATAGCATCTAATTTAATGAGTGGTTTTGGTTCTGACTCTGTAAATAACTAGTAGGTAAATAATAAAGGTGCCCAGGATGTCTGCAAATATTTCAGCCGCACAGGGTGGAATGTGGCTAAATATGCTGCAGTGAAAGTAAGTTAGGGGTTCAAAACACCAAAGAAAACCCACAAAACAGAAACATCTCGATGAAAAGACTAGAGCCCTGAATTGTAATTTAGAAGGCACAAATTCTTATTTTTGTTCTCTCAAGACTGAGTATGTCACTAGCTGGAAGCAAATTTTCTGTGCCTCTGTTTCCTCATTTTTAAAATGAAAGGAGTGGACTTAAATGATCTTCAGTAGGATAGATGGGTAAAATGGAATTTGGTATTTTTGTGGGAGGAAGAAAGAAAATATCGTTATATGGAGCCTGGCTAAACTTGAATAGCCAAGACACTCCCAGGGAGAGACCAAGACCAGCTACTTTGCCTCTAAACCTAATCAAACCGGGGTGGGGGTGGAACTGAAAAATGTCTGGAGCCAAGAAAGATTGTCCCTCAAGAAAACTCATCACCAAAAAGAAACGATAAGACCACCAGCCCAGATTTAGGAGTTCAGTGTCTGCGCAGACTTAGGAGTTCAAAAGAGAATAATGTGCTTTCGGGGCTGAACCAAGTGCAATGGTGGGATTAGCTCAGACCTAGGAATCAGGGAGCAGATTTGAGCTCTGGAGAGGGATGTGTGAGTGAATGTGAGAAACAACCTTTGGCTGGAGCCCTCTGGCTGAATTTATCCCTGAAGAGTGAGGATCTTTTCTTGGGCTCCTTCAAAAAGAGCAATAGCCTGAGCCAGTGTCTATCCTAACTGCTTCTTCTGGGACAGCTGAATCTCTGGGTCTTAAAGGAGCACACCTAAATCAAGACTTGAAGAGTTGAAATGAAGGTGGCCAGGGATGGCCCCTGGCAGAGGAGGGGCTACTATTTCCCATCCGCAGGTAGATGAGGGCTCACATGTTCATCTTTGGGCCCCATCTAAGTGGTCCCTCATTTGCACCCCAAATTACTGTATCAGTTGAACCTCTCCAATTGCAAGTCCACAGATCACTTAGAATGCTAATATATTATAACTTTATTGTATTGATTCAAAATAAAACACAAACCACTGCAGTGGCACATGACTGTAATTCCAATGACTCAGGAGGCTGAAGCAGGAGCACCACAAGTCCAAAGCCATCCTGGACAACTTAGTGGGACCCTGTCTCAAAATAAAATTAAAATGGGTTGGGGATGTAGAACAGTAATAGAATGCCCCTGGATTTGATCTGTACTACTGAAACAACAAAAACACAAAGCCTGTGGCTCAGTTTAACACATAATTCTATCCTTAAATTTGCAGATATTAGGACACCTGCTTAAGCAAAAAAAAAAAAAAAAAAAGAGGGGGAGAAATATGTAAACTAGAGATCCACTTGTGACCATTTAACAACTTAATTCAGATCCCTGAATTTACTACATATACATTCATAAGATATCATTAAAGTGAAAGCTGGAAGCAGTAAAGATAATTATGCAGTTCAGATATCTGAAGTTTTCTTTATCATAGGTTATGTTTGTATTATATGTAAAATGTGAGTGGACCCTGACATTGAAACTGAAACACATGCTTGTTTTTGTGACAGGTGACTATTACATTCATTTTTTTTTTACAATGTAGTGACATTCTTTGCTGGAAATTTGCACCTTTACATAATTCATCTTGGTTCTTATTTTTCCCCATTCCGCTGCCCTCCCGTCAACCCTTCCTCCCCTCCCCCCCAATCTACAAACACTGTTTCCTTTTTTTTCCTCACGTTAATTCCATTCCCATCTTTCTTTTCCCCTACCCCTCTCATTACCACTCCCACTTTGCACCTTTTCTTCTTATTTCAAATTATCTAGTATACCCTTTATTGCTTATTTGCATTTTCAGTTTCTCACACTAGAGAAACTATTTGGTATTTACACATATGTGTCCTATTTATTTCACTTTAGAGTATCACCTCAATGTGCATCCATTTAGCTATACATGTCTCTAGTATCTCATTCTTTATGGCTGGATAGTACTCCATTTTATTTTTTAAAAATGCACACATTTTCTTTATTCAGTCTCCTCTTGATGGGCAGTTGGGCTATTTCCCAGTTTTAGTTATCACAAATTGTACTTCTATGAACATGGGTGCACATATATGGCATGATTCTTTTAATTCTTTGGGGAAGATACCCAGCAGGAGGATAGCTGGGTCAAGTGGGACTTCCAATCCTAGTTCTCTGAGGTATCTCCATACTGATTTCCACAGTGGTTGCACCAGTCTACATTCCCACTAGCAGCGTTCCTCTTTCCTCACATCCCTGTCAGCATTTGTCATCGGTTGATTTCATGACAGCAGCCATTCTTTCTGGAGTGAGGTGGAATCTCAGTGTTGTTTTCATTTGCATCTCTCGAATGGCTAGCGATATTGAATATTTTTTCATATGTTTCTTTGCTATTCGTACTTCGTTGTCT